ATTACTAATAGATAGACCAGGCTGGACTGGGTATTGAAAGGAACTATTATCTGGAGAATGAAACAGATAAGGTGAGTAAYGAGATATATTATGGCTTACTATGACATGACGGTCATTATTCACACATACCTCACCCCATGGAAGGGGGTTAGGATTTTCAAGAGGTAGGGAAGGTCTGAGAAGGGTATATTGTGTAGTACCATAAAATATCCATACTTCCACCATGGAGGGGGATTGGAATTTCCAAGGGGTGGGGAGGGTCTGAGGAAGGTATTTTGTGTAGTACCATAAAATATCCAAACCTCCACCATAGAGGGGGATTGGAATTTCCAAGGGGTGGGGAGGKTCTGAGGAAGGTATTTTGTGTARTACCATAAAATATCCATACCTCCACCATGGAGGGGGATTGGAATTTCCAAGGGGTGGGGAGGGTCTGAAGAGAGTATAATGTGTAGTACCAGAAAATATCCATACCTCCACCATGGAGAGGGATTGGAATTTCCAAAGAGTTGGGAGGGTCTCAGGAGGGTATATTGTGTAGTACCAGAAAATATCCACACCTCCACTATGGAGGGAGATTGGAATTTCCCAGCATTGGGGGAGGAGGGGGGGGGAGGGGGTGTCTGAGAAGTTGGCAATGGGGGACCATGGCTTGAGATCAGATCCAGCAGTATCAATCTATCACTGAGCAGAAGGAATGGGTAATCTTGAAGCTTTTAACACATTCAGATAATTAAAAAAAAAAAATCTTTATTCTTTTCAAGAATCTGGTTGCTTATCATAAGTTTATGACGACTGTCGGTGTTTTGCTCGGAGGTCAAAAAGAAGTGGTAGAACAAGACATGAAGGAAGTACTGGAGTTTGAGATGAAGATTGCAAAGGTAGCAAGCTAAAAACAAGCTCTCTTTACTGCAAAAACTCTTGTTTTGCTATTGACAACTTCAAATTTTCATTTGGATTTTTGGTTTTTCTCATCTGCCAATCACATGAAGTGGGCGGATTTTATGCAAATGTTCTTATAAAAGCCTCTTTGAATAAATGATTTGTGTTCTTTTTTACCAGATTTTTGTCCCTCCAGACAACAGAAGTCAAATTGATCAAATGTACAGGAAAATGAGTATCAAGGACCTAGCCGCCATCTGCCCARAAGTAAGTGGTTTATAAAAAAAACCCAGAACTTAAAGGCTTTTCAGAGAAGAAAGATACAGAGGGTACTTTGTCTAAGTGGTAGGGGTGATTGATAGTCTGTTTTGAAAACGATGGGTCCCTAAGAACCACAAAAATTAAAAGAGGTGTGGAAGTCTTGTTAATTTCAATGAAAGATACGGCTTGGTGATGGTCGAAATGTTCCACTAGTATTTTTTAAAACTAACCACACAGTGCTTTGTACTTCATCATACACTACTAAAATCCAAAAGTAGAGCGAATTCRAAAATTCAAGCCTTTCCACCGTATGTTTGATTTTTACAGACAGTCGTCCTTAAGCTGGGGAAAAGTGATTGTGCTGGTAATTTTTAAATCAGTGACCGGACAAGTCATCTTTCTTCTGTTCTTTCATATTAGTTCAATAAAGAAAAAAGGAATAACAATTGACCTTAAATGGTAGGGAGTCATGTTTCGTAACTGACTTTTGAGTCGTAACACCTAAAATGGTCACACAGGAAATATTTTTAACCCTAAGTGAAGCTGATCACCCCCACCACTCAGAACAAAAGGAGTACCTGAGCCCCCACCCCCTGGGGGAAAGATGGATTACCATGAATTTGTATTTTTTCTGAGTGTATATTCTTTGATTCTTTTCTTTACCAGATTCCTTGGCTTGACTTCTTCCAGGAAGCTTTTCATGGTTCTACCATCAAAAATACSGAGAATGTAGTTGTCATGGCGACTGATTACCTTAAAATATTATCACCTGTCRTTAAGAATGCTACTCAAAAGTAAGAATGCTAGTCCAAAGTAAGAATGGGTTAATAGCCTCAAATTTCCCCCATTTCAGACCATTTGTCATTCCCTAGAGTATTCTTTCTTTGTTTAGCACTTGCTCATGAGAAGACATGATATGAATATGGATGCAACTCAAATAAAGAATATTAATCTCAAGAGAATGACACACATTATGAAATGGGAAAACATTGCTCTCAAATTTGAAAATTCCTTATCAATCAACAGAGTGTTGAATGACTACATGATTTGGCAWATTGTAAGCGGTTCAGTCCGATCTTTGTCAAGACCATTCCGTGAAGCCTCACATAATCTCCATAAAGTCTTGGATGGAGTGAGCCAACCAGAAGAGCTATGGAAAACATGTATCTCTGAAACTGATGATTCTGCAGTCGGCATGGCACTTGGGAATCTGTTTGTCAAGGAAAAGTTTGAAGGATCTAGCAGAACAGATGT